CCAGAGAGGGCTTGTCCAATTGACAACAGAGAATCCAATAAGTCTTTTCATCTTAAGCTGTAAGATGTTATGTTGGAAGGAAAAGGGGAGACAAGAGCAAAGGCAATGCTAATAGCTTGAGCAGGACTGGGGTGAAAAGTCTCCTATTTTTGCTCCTCATCATTCACACAGGCCCAAATTTACCACTAAAACTTACCAATTAACAAGCGTGGTAGTTGTACATACAGGGAGAGAATGTAAAGCTTGAGCACTTAACCTGCCTTTTCATGAGATTTGAAGCATTCACTGTATTTATTCCATGTTCAAGATCTTATTTTATTTTAAGGTCAGATGAGTTTGCATTCAAACTCAGCTTCTTCTGTGACTTCTAGTTGTTTACTTAAAGAGGACGTAGTTCGGTCCGACCTAGACCCTCTAACTTTGTCCTCCCACCAGAACAGAAAAGGGAATTTACAACATTTCTACAGGAACCTCTCTTCCTGTTACATGTGCCAGAGGGTTAAGTTTTCCTATTTGTAAGATGTATATAAGTTTGTAACTGGATAATTCCCCCGTAGGTAGACTGTAGACTTCTTGAAGAAAAGCACACTGTAAAGGTTAGGAGAGGTAAGACTGGAGAAAAAAACAAAAAAACAAAAAAACAAAAAAAAACAGCAACTGCCTAGCAAGAACCTACTTAGCATGCTTCCTGTTTCTATTCTCAGAGACTGCTATTATGGTTTAATTAGATCTCCCTGACAAAATTCATTACAGAAAATCCTGGCTTACTGAAAAAATAATAAACTCAGCTCATTCATAACCTGTTAGTTACTTTCCTTTTAAGGAACTAGAATAGTTTCTTCTTTCTTTCTTTCTACTTATCTAGAAGACTCAAATGAAATGTAACAAGTAGTCAAAGGGGAACAAATGAAAGCAGGTGGCAAACAAATCAACAAAATGCCCCAAGCTGCCCCGTCTTTCATAACATCCTCCTTCACCTAATGAGACAGAAGTGTAAAGGGAAAGAACATATTGGAACTGACTAGAATACAAAGAGACTCTGCGCACTCTAGTATCCTTTCTCTCCATCCCTATTGCTACTGTGGTAATTCAGGAGCAGGGGTGGGGGTGGGTTGCGTTTTTTTTTTTTTCTTCTCTCCTCTCCTGTAGGAACAAATCACCTCCAAATCAGCAGATCTCTTGACTTCCCTCTTGCAAGCAACCCACTTTGCATACAACTTCCAGACACTACCTTCTCAGAGGCAACACTGATCTCCTATTGGAACCTCTTCAATAGGGTCTCATTACCTGTGAAATAATGAACCCAATTTATCAGTGCAACCAAGGCTCCCCATTATCTGGCATCTGTGTGCACCACCAACCTTATTACGCTCCATCTCTCTTTCCTGGCACAGCCCATGTCCCTCAAAGTTCTAGCTTGCCCAGAGAGAACCATATGCTGCTCCGCATTTGTGTGTGTGTTTGTTTATTTAGAGAAAGAATGAGCGGGGGAGAGGAAGAGGGAGAGAGAGAATCCCAAGAAGGCTCCACACCTAGCACAGAGCCAGATTCTCGGCTCAATCTTATGACCATGAAATCATGACCTGAGCCAAAATCAAGAGTCTGACATTTATTTATTTTATTTTATTTTTAATTTTTATTTATTTCTAGGAGAGAGAGAGAGAGACAGCATGAGCAGGGGAGGGTCAGAGAGAGAGGGAGATACAGACTCTGAAACAGGCTCCAGGCTCTGAGCTGGCAGTCAGCACAGAGCCCGACGTGGGGCTCGAACCCATGAACTGCGAGATCATGACCCAAGCAAAAGTCGGACGCTTAACCAACTAAGCCACCCAGGCGCCCCAAGAGTCTGACATTTAGCTGAGCCACCCAAGTGTCCTCTTGCTGCTTCTTAGAAAGAGAGCCTCGAAGGCAGTCTCACACCTCTGAACATTCATTCATAAGGCTGCCTTTACCTGAAGCATTGCCATCTCCATTCCCATTTACCTGAAGAACATTTGGAAATGACAGGGCTCTTGCCAGACCACTAGAAAATGTTGCCTTAATGGTCATTATGTATGCACACACATTACATGACCACAAACATCTGTGTATATATGTGTAGGGGTACACCCATACACTTTGGAAGCAAATTATCATGACTGGATTTTAGCAAAAATAAGCACAAATTCAGAGAAACAATTATGGGAGAATTTGCCTCTTTCCCTCTTATGTAGAATTGAGAGGTGAGATGCAGAAACGAAGATTATGCCATACATTATGTCCATTCTTTGCGAATGAGCTGACCACCACTGGTCTATTTTAGCAGCATAGCACTCTGTTCAGAGGGTAGCACCTGAGAGCCACACATTACCCCTCCCCTTCTCAGGGACACTTGCCCAGACCACACACTGAAGACTGCTGAAGTCAAGGGCTTAGATGCTCAAGCTATTACGTCATTCTATTGGGTTTAAGTTTTCATGTCCAGTTTATTTGGACTCTGAGGGTAATGAATCCCATGAGGAAACTCCTTTCTCTCTGCAGCAGTACTTCCCTTTGGCCTAAACTAACCTCTCTAAAGTTGTAAAGAAACTTGGTTCCCTTGTAATAACCATCCAGGATCGGATGAACAAAACTGTGTTCATCATATTCCTACTCTTCACAGGTTTCAAACCTTGACCACAGCTGCCTCAGTCTTCATGTTCAAAAGGTGCAGGACTCTGTGGTTCAACTTGTGCTCCTCTGGCATACCTGGCATCCCCTCTTCTTTTGTGTATTCACACTGTGGTTAGGGTAGCTTGCTTTCTTCGGCTTCCATGGACTCCAATGTTTTCCGCTTCCCTTGAATTTAGAGTCCAGTGGTCAAGGCACAACATCTCCCAGGTGTGGCCAAGCCCCATTTTTGTTTGTTTGTTTTTGCAAAGATAGGGCTGTGGTTTGTTTTGTGCTATGGGCCTTCCCATTGATTAAAATATTCTTTGTCATTTTAGGAAAAGGATCTGCATGGTCTGTTCTCAGAATGAATGAAATTTAATTCAGTTCAAGTCAAGAAATACTGATTGTGCATGGCCATGAGCTCAAAACTCTCATACCTATATTAAACAATGGTTAAAATCCATTTTTTTATTAGCTTAGTAGAGAATGGGACATTGGATGGAACATCAGTGGTGGCAGGATTTAGGAAATCAGCAGTCTCAAAATAGTTCTAAAACTTTTTATAATCCAGGAAGCATTTTCTTTAAGTGAAATTTCATCACAATGTTCAGCAAAAGAAAGTTGGTGTAGTTGATGTAGTTGTTCAGGGGACAAAAGCGTTTCCCATGAGCCTTCTCCACTGTGTTTACATGCACACTCACAGAATACCGAGTTTTAAAAACTTAGCTCCAGTCCCATTGTTTATGTTACAGAGAGACATCCGAGGTGGTAAATCCAAGGTGATAGGTAAGTTGGAAGACCAAGACTGCCTACTCCTGATTTAGTACACATTCCCCTACATTTCCTGTATTTTCCCCTAGATGAAACTCACCTACAATTTTTGTGCTCGTGCCTTGCAGTAGTATTCCTCTAGATTGACTCCCTGAGTTTATCATTTCACAATGCCTGTATTCACTGTCCCTCCCCCTCTCCTCCCCTCCCCCTCTCCCTTTATTTGTTCCTTCCTCCCTTCCAGCTTTATAAATAAGTGTGTTTTTCACACTCCCCTGTATTTGTTTAACTTCCCAAGGCCTTAAGTTGGCAGAAGCCTGACCTCGGGCTTCTAAGTTATGCTTCCACTCAATCAGACAAATCAATGTCTGTTTGCACTCCGGGCTAATTTGTCCTGAATGTATTCAGAATGCATTTACTTGTTCTAATTCCTTTAACCCACCTCATTTTCCTACATTCCTTTCCCTGATCAAGGAAGATGATCTGATTAGGGTTTCTGCTGAAAGCAGCCCTGTGGTCTCTGAAAGTCCCTTTGATACCCTTGTGGGCAGAGAATGATTGGCATTAATAATATCCCCCATTCAGCTCCTTTGTATACTGTGAGCAGCTGAGGCTGCTTGGAAATCCACTGCTGTGTGTTTTGAGACCTGCCAAGAGACAGCAACATGCCAGCATCCCTGGCAGCAATATGAGGCTGGTCCTGATGGATGAGTGTGCCTAGAACAGCTGAGAGAACCATAATAACATAGCAGTGATAACCCTGGATTATCTGCTGCAAGGCCATAGCGCACTCTTCCCACATGGCCTTAGCCACCAATGTAATACGACACGAATGACGAGCAAAGAAAGAACTTGGGCGACCTTAATTTAGGAGTTGCCGACTTTTTTTTATATGCTGAAAGTAACCGTAAGAGATAAAGACAGAAGATGTCAGATCAAAAATATGAAAACTAATTCTTACCCCATTCTCGTGAAACTCTGTGGTCGGAGCTCATGAGCTTCTCTGGAGTAAAGCAATGTGTGAGGAAGTTGAAGAACCATTCGGAGAACATTCTGTACCAGAAGAGGCTCCCAAGATTGATGCTGCCCTTTAAAAAAATAGCCCACCGAGCCTGGCCAGGCATTAGTTACACATCTTTTCCTTACAGCTCTGCATTATCACAAATGATCATTCTGGTCATGCTGGCCATGGAGGATTACCTCACCATACTCTAGCGGGAGGCCCGAATGAGTGGAGGGTGGAGAGACAGTGAAAAGAGACCAGAAATTGCTCTAATTTCCTAATTCAATGCATTGTGACCACTGAACTCAATAGGAATCTATTCACTGGAAGCGCGAACAACACTGTTGCCCACCATGGAGCCACTGGTATTTCGAATACGCACATTAACTAGAGTAAGACCACAACTAGCGATGCACACACTTAAAAGAGACGCGTGGCATATTCTGTGCAAGTTCTATGTTCCCTGAACAAAAATGTTGCCATGGAAACCTCTACCATAAGGCAGGTGTAGTTGTGCAAAGGACTATGGGCTATGAAATCAGGTTCCCATGGCAACATTTTTGTTCAAAGCCTGAAGAATCTTAAATACATGTGCCAATACATTTTATTACCCAGCAGGATTCACAGGTGGGATTAATAAAGTTCAATATTTGCTCAACTAAAAGTTGTAATCATGGTGAAAAGAAATGAATTAGAACAAGCTCCTATGGATAGCTTACATAAACAATTTGGAGTTTTAACACTACTTCCACATGAGTAAGTACATGTACATGACATTTTAATAGGTTACTTGCTTTCATTAAACTCCTAAGACAGGGAAATCTCCACCAAAATGATGGGATTTTAAAATTTGAAATCTGTCTTCAACTCACAATTCACTGATGAGATTAAATCACTCAAGCTTACCAAAGGAAATTAAGATCATACTATCCACCTGTAATAGAACCAATTATTATAGTGGCCAGAGAGCTAAAGAAAAAAAAAAAAACATGTCAGGTTGATACATCTACATTATGTGAGTTCCTGCTAATAAAATGCGCCAGTTGGGATATTTATGATAATTGCCATTTCTAGAGCCTCAAAACATTCATATAAATATGCCAAGAACCAAATTAAGAAAAGCTTTTTCCTTTATCTTTTACAAATAATCCAGAAAGTAATAATCATTCATTATAATATATTTCAGAAACTATATTAAGAAGATACACTACAAAAGGCAAAGAGATGATCACGTGGAGATGCTTGGGTAAGTTTTTAGAACTTATTTTTCACTAATATTTTGCATCTTCTAGCTCCATAAAACTTCAAAGTCAAGTTGATAAAATCACAGTGAGCCCTCTAGGAGGTCAGAAACTGTGGTTGGGTTTGCTTGGCGCTGCTCCACACAGTGCCTGGAACATTTTAAACATCCAGGAGACAGGTGTTGAGTGAATCAAACACATTATGAATTCAGGTAACAATGAGTCTTAGGTGGTCAGTGGTATCTTTCACAAAATTATATGCATAAAAATTAGGTGATTCGAATGAAATTTTCCCATTAGATCACATTTTGCATTTAGAAAATGCATTATCATCCTTTCTGATTGCTTCATAATCAGTATTAGCTCCCAAACCTTTACCAGTTTTTCCTCTTTGCTCCATTTTAGCAAGTGATTTAGCAAGTGATCTACAATCAAACATATAAATACACCAGGGCAGCTAAGCATCTATAGGAAGCATGGGGACATTTTTATAAAATAAATCATTCATTCTTTAAAATGGAGTGAGTCAGCTCCTAGTTTACCAGTTTTGTAAGCTTCTCCCCCCATATTAGGTGCTATTGTTGCTGTTTCGAGTGGCACATCTGTTAACACTTGTATATTAAACTTTCATCTATCAAAAATTTATTTTTTTTTTAAATTTAGAGAGAGCACTTATGATCAGGGGAGAGGGATCGGGGGGAAAGAGGGAGAGAGAGGGGAGAGACAGAGAGAGAGAGAAACAGAGAGAGAGAGAGACAGAGAGAGAGAGAGAGAGAGAATGAATCCCAAGCAGGCTCAGCCTGAAGCCCAACATGGGGCTCGATCCCACAACCCTGAGGTCATGACCTGAGCCAAAACCAAGAGCTGAACACTCGACCAGCTCAGTCACCCAGGTGCCCCTCAAACAAATTTATAAACCATATTTCATAGAATTTCCTACAGTTCCCCAAAGAGGCTGAGAATTTAATGTCTCAGAATGTGGCCACAGTTATTAAACTCATTTCCAAAATTTCATTGTATTAGAAATATGTTGAGATCCATGTATCATAACTTTTCAAAGTAATAGGTCAGCTGCAGCTTAAAGACACAGAATTCCAAAACTAAAAGACATCTCCGAGGCATCGCAGAATTTCAGCGTGTCTCCTGTTGAAAATGGCCAGGCACAGAGCAATGTGGAAACCCTGCTGTGAGGGTCTGGCTGTGAGGCTGTTCTGGGGCCTTGTCCCAGAGTCCCTGCTCAGCTGAGAGGCCTCAGGGTAGATCATAGCCCTCCTTAAGCCTAAACTCTGTTTAAAATGCAAATAAAACAACACTCAAAGTAGAGGGGGTTTGTGAGCATCAAATGAATTGACGTGTGTTAAAGCACAACACAGGATTTGATTTTTTACCTCTCAATACACATTACTGTTACTATTATTATTGTATTCAAATCCCCCAAATATTAAATAATCTAAGAAATAATTATTGTGCTTAAGGTTTAAGAAATAGCATTGAGGATTCAGCCTATATTCATTTCTCTATGGCATTGATTTCAATTCTGCTAGTGTCCAATTCTCTTCTCAAAGGGAGGAATCCAGGCATGAGACTGCAAATCCCATCTCTGGCACTTAAACCCTAAAGAGTGGGGCACCTGAGTGGCTCAGTCGATTAAGCATCTGACTCTTGATTTCAGCTTAGGTCATGATCTCACGGTTTGGGAGATTGAGCCCTGTGTTGGGCTCTGCACTGATGGTGCAGAGTCTGTTTGGGATTCTTTCTCTCCCTCTCTCCAGCCCATTCTTCCATAATAAGTAAATAAACTTTAGAAAAAAACATAAAGAGTTATTACAATTCTACTTTGAGATTTTTTTTTTTTTTTACTTTTTCTTTTTTCTTTTAATGCCAGTGGAAATAAACCTCAGTAGTACCAAAGAGTTAAGGCAATTCCAATAGTTCTCAATTTTAGGAATCTCTTAGGCCCCAGGAAAATTTGGGTTAGGGACAACATGATACTTTTGAAGACACAGTTAGGAAGCTTTCAAGTCTCCCAAAGTTAACACAGGTAAATACTTCTAGCAGTTTTCAGAAATCCATCCAAGAAACATGAACTTGCTTTAACAAATCCAGTTAACTTGGGGAGCCTGGGTAGCAAGGCTGAGTGTCCAACTTCAGCTCAAGTCATGATCTTGAGTTTCATGGGTTCAAGCCCCATGTCGGGCTCCATGCTGACAGCCCAGAGTCTGGAGCCTGCTTCAGATTCTGTCTCCATCTCTCTGCCCCTTCCCCACTCATACAGGTGTGCGCACTCTCTCTTTCTCAAGATAAACAAACTTAAAAACAATACAGTAACTTTATAATTTTCTTATCAGAGAAAAAAATAAACCAAGCACATAAGGAAATAAATAATTATTTAAAGAATCTTCTCAATCAGATCACATTAATGGTTTTTCACTGGTTCACCCAGGTAGAATACATTCACTGCTGGCCATTTACAGAAAAACAGCCAAGATAACATGACACTTAAAAGAATGGTCCATCAAATTCAAAATTCTAAGACTCAAACTGGCAAGTGAAAACAAAACCGTGTAAGTAGGTTCTTCAAAATTCTTAAGCACATAACCCATCAGCAAAACACCACCACCTGTCATATTAATGGCGGTAGTACCAGTTGGACTGATTACATAAATAGGTGGCATTTGCCATGTACATCTGGTCTTGTGTATTAGAGCTTCATATATAGCCAATCATGCTCAGTTTCAGGTTTGTGGATGTAAGTACAAATAGATACCATGAAATGTGGTTGTGAGTCAACACGAAAGACTCATTTTTGCTTTCACTCCTAAAAAGCACATTTCTATTACTTCATTCTGAACAATATCTGGATGCTGCTCTAGGCCTTAGGGATACAGAGACATAAAACATCTGGAGATGCCTACCTCTAGAGGAATGTGTTGTCTGTAGGTGGAAGAGGGGGGTCTGTGATATCTATAAACACATCCACATAAAATATGATGTGTGTGGAAAAGGTGGGAGTCTTAAGTGTGAGAAACTAAACTCTATCAATTTGGGGGCCACTAAATGAACAAAATGCATTACCCTTTTTTTTTTTTTTTGAGCCTATGAACAAGTCTACTGCAGGGTAACTTCTCCTTGTCGTCTGTTTTACTAGAAAACTCAAGTGAAAATTGCAGTGTGTCCGCTGTAGTACATACTAGAGCATGATCTCAAACTGATTACAGCCTTGTCGAATTGTATCAGCATCGATTTATAAGGCAGAGCCCTGCAGCATGTCAGTGTGGTGCCGCCTCTTAAATGTGGCACTGGGCCTCTTTTATTTGATCCTGGGACAATCCTGTGCGAGCTTTTGTGTGTCGCCTTTATTACAGTCAGGTTTCTGTTTGGACCCTGAGGAGGTTTTGCAGAAGCACTTGGGTGGGCTTGGAGGGGCCCCTGTAGGCAGACATCTGTTGAAATGAAAAGGGCTTATATGATTGTGTTAATTTTTGCATTACCAGAAAATTGTAGGAAATGAACATTTTATTTTTTTTTAAGTTTATTTATTTTGAGAGAGAGAGAGAGAGAGAGAGAGAGAGAGAGAGAGATTGAGAATGTGTGCAGAGAAGGGGCAGAGAGAGAGGGAAAGAGAGAGGATTCCCAAACAGGCTCTGCAGCTCGAACTCACAAACTATGAGATCATGACCTGAGCTGAAATCAAGAGTCGGACACTTAACCGACTGAGTCACCATGCACCCTGGAAATAAACATCTTAGATAAAAATGAAAAGAAAAAAAACCTTCCCAGATTAGAATGGTATGATTAAGTCATACTATTTTCCATCTGTTGCTTAGGAGAAATCTGATTCCATTCATTCATTCCTTAATACATATTTACTGAGTTCCTACTATGCGCCAGGCAAGGGAGTTAGCCACACAACATGGCATTAGCTGATAACCTAAACTTTAAAAAGACTTTAGTACATTAAGAAAAAGGGTTATTTTAAAACCCCAAAGAGGTACTTTTTTATTGGACAATAATCTCTTGCTGTTTTCTAAATAAATTAGTTCAATCATGCACATCTTCACCAGATTTTAGCCTGATACAAATAGTAATTGAGCGGGGTGGCCACAAACCAGTGCTATTAAAAAGCATTGCAATTTCAGCCGAGTCATTCAAGAAACATTTCTCTCCTCTGACCTTTATATCTGCTAAGTGATAGAGCTCGTCCGTACAGTGCACAGGTCAGACATCTCTAACGCTGCACAAATATCACTCAAGAGAAAACACTCTATTGCCCCACTTGATTACATGGAAATTGGTTTTGTACAATAGAAGCCTTTTTGTTCAGACTACTATGGACTCCAACAGTGTAAGTTTCTTTACAGAGTTAATAGACTAGGGATGGATTTTGAATTTCACACGCATACACAAAAGCCTCATTACCATTTACATTTGTGCATTGGATAACAAAGATGATCAGGAGCTCCCTCAAATCATTAAGGCTGAAAAATGAAATCGAACAGAGGTGAGGAAAGCCTGTTTTCTTAAAGCCTATTCAGGACAGATGAGCGTTAATTGTAATAGGGTCTTCCAACTTATAACTAATAACCATGCTTTGTTTTTCAGAGATTAAAAGAGGCAGATACGATCCTTGTTTAATTTTAAAGTGATTCCTAACATTTAAGTGCTGGTTGCCCAAACATTCATTTCTACAAAAAATAAGTCCAAACTTGATTTTAATTTGAAATAAAACAACATTTTAGGCAAGAAATAATGAAGACAGAAGAAGGGATATAGAAACACTATATGTGTCCTTAATCTTTCCTACTAAAAGCATTGAAGAAATTCTGACCTAGCTTCAGTGGGCCCAGAGGCGACCTTCATGTCCCATACCTCACTTCCCACAGATACGAAGATACTGCTGTTTCCTCAGGTGTCTTCTGTGCCCCCCCCCCCCCCCCCCCATATAAACCCCACAGCGCTGGTCCCCTCAGCTTTCCTGATTCCCTTTCTTCTCACCCACGCGTCAGTGTGCACCTGCCTTGGGCTATATGGCAGTAAGTGGGAAAAAGGAAGTCTCCACCATGACCGTGGGAATCATGGTTGGGGACGCACCAGCTGACATACTACCTCTTCTGAGCTGCCTCTGTTTCCCAGGCCTTCCCCTCACCCACACTGTCCTCAATCCTGGCAGTTTATATTCCAATCTTTATAAATTCCAATCCCTGCCTCAGCCCTCAGGCTTGGGCCCAACAAGTACAAATGTGGGAAGGTGCTCTCCAAGGTCCAGCTCCCCAGTTTGGGAAGGATGGGCCTGGGGTTCACAAATACAAATTGTCTTTCTTTACACACACCTGGTTATCCTTTGGTAAAATTCACTTGAAATCGGCAAACTCTCCTTTGCTCCATTCCTATGGTTTTGCCTGAATCAGTTGTAGTGAGTAGCAAGGAAAGACAGTATTGAAAAACCAGATGAAAATAGGTGAATCTGACATTCAAGTGTATTAAGATACCCAACTGATGAGCGAGGATGGAAGGGTTGAAGGGATTTGCTGGTGTCACAGTCTTAAATCCAGATTCTGGATTATAACCACATTCCTAACTTTACTGGCGATGGGACACCTTGCTCCCTCTGTCCATGCCAGAGACAGGTCCAGGCAAGTGGTGACTGGTTGTAGATACTGGCTGTGTTCATCACAAAATTCACCCACTATTTTTCACTTTCTTAGATTCCCGAAGGAATGATGGGTGATTGGAGGTTGATACGTATAGGCAATTGCAAGATTAAGCACATTGGCATTTACATTGGTTGTCTTATGCTGTTTTATGAAGTACAATTAACATACAATAACTGTACATATTTAAAGCATGAACATTTGCTAAGTTTTTATGACTGTCAAATCATCAGCACACTCAACACAGTGAGTGTATCTGTCAATGCCACAAGTTTCTTCATGTCCCTCACTAAAATTTCAAGCATTATTTTAACAATCAATTCAGTTCTCCAAAAGGGACCATAGCATCACTTCAGTTCCATATAACATTACCTTTCATTGGAAGTCCCTAGAACTCAAGTTCTTGTCTATCCAACACTCAATGCGTATTTCATCGAAGATGTGTTCATGCATGCACACATGCATGAACACACGGTATACTTTATGGTGATATGCAGTAGTGTTTCTTCCAAAAAATAAACCACGCTTTTTATGAAACAAAATTTTGGAAAGATTTCTTCTTACTAAAATGTCTTTTTCTTTCTACCATATGGAACCACCCTTTCTGGCACACTCTGGTTACAGGCTTAGAAACTTGATTATTGGAACTTCAAACCAGCCAGTCAGATTAGTTTGCAAAATAGTCAACTTCATGGGATTGGAAGGACACAAACAGGGGCTGAACAATTAGTTCTTGTCACTCTTGCTGTGCGAAAATTGAATGATAACACTCATGACGGGGGTGTCAGGCTCTGTGAACTGGTAGCATGATTCTGCTGCCTGTGTAGTTCCTGGACACCACACCGAAAACCAGCCTCCCACAGAGGTTATAATGATTCACTCAAACCTCTCACAGGTAGTTGTTCTCTGGGTAGCATCCTTCTATAAACTATATAACTATGGTTTATCAAAGAGAAGTTTCTGTCTTACCATATTTCTAAGAGTGACTTTCCCCCACCCCGTCCCCGTACAACAGGTCACATGACCTTAGCTGGTAGAAAAGACGATTTATCAAGAAAGAAGACATGGTGGTGCACATCAGAGGCCACTGACTTTATGAAGAAATCTCTTCCCTGGTCACATGGCAAGACAAGCGGCATCAATATCAATCAATCAATACTTGCTGAGATCAGACATAGCCACTTTCTTTCACTGCTGAAGATGTCAGATTCATAAAATAAACAGTTTGCTTGAGCCTGAAGTGAAATATTTTCTATTATTGCTTTCCAGGTTAGCCTCACACAATACTGGGTCATTCACTTGGTCCATAAATATGTATTGAATTTCTACTGTGTTTGAGGCATTGTGGGGCATATAAATATGAATAGGACATAATGCGGCTCTCAGGGAGTTGACATCATAGCAGAAATGTATACGGCACTCAAGAGAACATTTAACTCTGATGATGACGGAGGACGTGAAGTCTGGCAGGAAGTCTGGAGCAAAGGCTTTCAGATCCAAGGAAATGAGGGATAAGCTTCGCAAGGTTTCCATTTTAATTAAGCACTTTCTCTTTGTCACTTGAGCAGATGTTCTTTATTAGACCTGTTAGGTGTCTTTGCATGTTTTTGTCTCCATGTCTCTTTCCCTAACTAGACCAGAGGGGATGAACTTATCTTTTGTATCTTGGTATCAGCGTGCAGTAGGTTCTCTTGCTGACTCAATCAATAGAACAGAACAGATGCTATAATGTCTTTGGGACCCGGCTTTCAGGCCAGCCTGGTCACAGAAGATACCCTTCTAGAAATGGTTACTAGCATCCCTATTCTCCCCTCCTGAAGGGGAACTTCATTTAATTTACTACTTTTACAACTTGCTCCCTATAGGAAAAAAAAAAGTTTCTAGTCTACGAATGTAGCTTCATTGAATACAATTTCACAAACACACAGAATATCCCAGAAAATAAATAACTGTCTTTTGTAATACTCTGCTCAAAGATGACCATCAGTATGATTCTGGACCATGTTCTTGCCTTTTATATGGGATGATATTACCTAAATACCCTGTATACGTTTAATATTCAGTATACATGTGGTACACATTTAATATTTTAAAACCACACATATGTATGTATATAGGTATAATTAATCAAGACTTTGACCCAATTATGTCTCTTGCTAATGTATTTTTATTAGCACAGTTCCATAAATAAGAGGGCCAGACTAAGCTGGAGTTCTAAAAGAAGCCTGTGTACTTTTAATAGGCACTGTTGAAGTTTGCCTATTTTTAGTCATCTCCTTCAGCATAGAATTGAGGCCAGATTAAATATACACTACTGGTTTTATTTTGGGGATAAATCATGCATTTCTGACCCAAGATACTAAATCCTGACCTGACCTTTGGGTCGGGCTCTATTCACCAAGATGCAACCATCTGGGACATTCTCAGTAAATACCAATGACCAAGCCCCTGATCTCTAATAGACCAAGACCACTCAGAAGAAATAAGGTAGCTTAGGGGAGCTCTGAAGTGCTTTGTTAAAAGACAATGCTACTACGCAAAATGTTAGAGCATGGCATTCCCTCCTGACCCTCAAACTCTCTCCCCCACCCCTTTTTAGAATAATTTCCCTGCTGTGCCTCCTTCAGGCATCACCTCCTTTGTAAAAGCCCTTCATCACTACCACTACCTAAGTTAAAGGTGAATACTCCCCACTCAGTGCCCTTACTATTCCTATACACACTTTGGCATGGCATGGACACCGGACACGCTGACTTACACCTTCCTTCCACCTCGAACGCTCACATTTTGGAAGGACAACATCATCATGTTTATTTTATATTCCCATTTTCCAGCACAGCACCTGGCACACAGTAGGCACAATTCATGTCTGTTGAGTGAACAGCTGACTGCATGAGGTCCTAAAAGGTGAAAGAGAGTTGGAGAGGCAGGAGCAGACACGGGGAGCCTGCTGCATGACCAGATTCATCGAGCCCTACAAACTGTCATTTAAATGGCCCTTGGCATGAGGACTTGCCTTAACACTGCACTGTGGGATCTACACAAAAGAAACAATTTACTTCATGTTCTTCTAAATCTGCAGAGTGGCCAGAGCTAGACTACAGGATAGGCACTTAGTCTCAATCATCCCTTTCATGCAAAGGTTGACACCTGTTTTCAGAACCTCTCCTTAGGTGTTAGGTCTGTTCTCACCTGGGTCCTTCCCTGGGACCTTCCTCACTTCCCCCTGAAAACTCAAAACTTGGGGAAAATGTTAAAGACCTCCTTTCTTGGTAATGACATCTCCCTCTGGCCTATTCACTGCTAAACATTGATATTTTCAGAGCAAGTTTCACCAGGCAAAAAAAAGCCAAAGAAAATTTGCATGGCAAAGGTACACATATCATTTTAGGCATGCAAATTATTGTTTTTAGAAGAATAAAAGGCTGTAAATATTTTGAGAAGTGGGCCCCTAGTGCCTCTTAAGTATTCTAAACTACACTGTGTGCTTCATAATTATGTAATATATAGAATACCAGCTGCTTTGAATGGTACTCTGGAGGTTTGGATGATATCAGAAAGCTCTCCTCCCCCAGTGAGAGCCATAATCAAGCAAGCAATACCGTAAAGCCAGAGCCAATTGACATTGAGTTGCTGGATTTTAACACACTTTAAAACAGATGTTTAGTCTGTGTGGTGTGGTTTCAGAGAAACATATTTTTGCCTAAAAAAAGTAGAGTCCAACCAAGTTGTCTACCTGTAAAGTGTATTAATATTTATCATCTCGTTAACATCTGTCTAAAGGGATACATAAGTTGCAATTGGATATATACGTGTAAACTGACATATTGCATATTTAAATATTTATATCTTTGTGTTCAAATGCACACATACATTTAGCTAAAAGATAAAACCCAAGATGCTTCTTTTCATCCATGATAAAGAGCAGAGGCATGTGTGAGCTTCTGGAGAGAAAAAAATAAAGCATACTAATGCTTTCCATTGGGTCCCATGCCTGATACAATGGTAGGCATCTTTTTGAAGGCTTCATCAAATAATAGGTTAATTATTTATGGTCTTGAAAATCCCCTTCCCAGTTTCATATCCTGAACAATAGGACCTATATAAGAACTGTGACTGTAAGGAGAGAAATCACAGGGCAAAGAATATAGACGCAGAAAAGTAATGGGGCAAAGAACTTCTCCTCCTAGGATTTCCCACATGGCCACCCCCAGCAAGACAATGGTAATGTGACAAACTGCTTGAGAAAAAAAAAAAAAAAGCAATAAATTAAAAGTCCCATAGCTGGTGCCGTGAAAATTTAGGCACGGCTCTACAACCAAAAACCTCCCCCTTGGAAATCACTGGCACTGAGTTCAAAGAGTTACTTCTGTAATTTCCTTTAAGAAAATGGAAAAGTGTACCCATCCTCAAAGGCTAGAGCAAAAGAAGGACTACTGTTTTATTTTTTAAGAAAAAGTGAGTTTTATTTTTGTAAAACTCAATGAAACCAGTCACTCAGGGGTGAATTTGGCTGAAGCCATCTGAAGACACAGGCCTTCAAGTCAGCCTCTATTACATCCCAGCTCCGTAACTTACTATGTGACCCTTCAGCAGGTTACCTGACCTTTCTGGGCCTCAGTTTTCTCAACTATCAAAGAGCAGTAATATTACCGTGAAGAGGTATTCTTTTTTTGATGTTTATTTATTTGAGACAGAGAGTATGAATGGAAGAAGGGAAGAGAAAGGGAGGGAGAGGGAATTCCAAGCAGGCTCTGCACTGTGAGCACAGAGCCCAATGTGGGGCTCGATGCCGTGAACAGTGAGATCAAGATCTGAGCTGAAACCAAGAGTTGGACACTCAACCGACTGAGTCCCCAGGTGCCCCACTGAAGACATCTATTCTGTTACAGCTCTGGCAACTTCGGGGGTAGAAGATACACATGCAAGTCCATAGACAGGGACGACTACAATTTCCCAAACTGTAGTCACAAAATACTTTCAGTAATTAATCAGTCTATGTCTGGACTGTATACTCTATGATTTCAGTTCTACTTGAGTTTGAGCAGGATAATGTCCTTAGGAGAAGACAAAGACTGATAAGTGAATAGTCTGCCTAATGGTAATGAACTCACCCTGTATGGAAGCACTTTCTACACATCTGTTCATGTTTACCTTTACCTTCCCATCCACCTGTGTTCCATATAAAGCCCGTGCCCTCATTTTAACTCAGAAAAACCTATGTTAAAATAACATTGCAAAGAACAGATAAGGCATGCCTACCTACTAATGGAGTGATGCGACTCTTGAAGTTCTAATAATTACTAATCTTCAGTGGTGCTAGTGTAGTGAAAATGGCACGGCAGACTTACTCATGGTCTTCCGCCACCGCCAATTACCAGTGGTGTGAAGACCATCATATTCATAGGTAATGAGAAACCAATATTGACAGGGAAATAAAACACTTTTGACCAGAAATGACTCATGGTTTAATTCACCAGCATGCTTTCAGCTGTCTCACATTTCCAAGACATAGACTATCACAGCTACATTTCTTTCTATTTAAAAGTCATCATCCCACAATCTCGTTTCTAATCCAGCAAATATTTATCTAACGCTTATGATAAGCCGATCTCTCTTTTTTTCATCACAGAGACCTTTCATGAACCCATAATCTCTACCAGGAGAAAAGAGCAGTGTTAGGAGCCATATCCCACCCATGGACACATTTTCTTTGGTTTAGACAGGGTTTGTAAAAAATTTGAGCCAACATTTTAAATTCTTTTAAATTATTTTTGAGAGAAAGAGACAGAACGTGAGTGGGGGAGGGAGACACAGAAGCTGAGAGGGAGACACAGAATCTGAAGCAGGCTCCAGGCTCTGAGCTGTGAGTATAGAGCCCAATGCAGGGCTCAAACTCACAAACTGTGAAATTATGACCCAAGCTGAAGTTGAACACTTAACCAACTGAGCTACTCAGGCGCCCCGAGCCAACATTTTAAAATTTGCAAGTTTCCCTTCAAAAATAAATAAATAAATAAATAAATAAATAAAAAGATTCTGCAAACACCATCTACCTACAGAGCAATAAACATGAAGAAAATAATGCAGACAGAAGAAATGAAAGGAGAACCCCATCTTAACAAATGGCAAAAAAGATCAGCACAAGTTTCCAGAATGGATCAGTGATTCTGGGAATAAATGCCTGCTTGACTGCTAGATTCTAGGCTTTGCCGT